TCTTCTTTTCTAAGAGAGCAATGATTATCCTTGGACGCTTCTCAACCTCTAGAATAGGTGGTGATGTTGCCTTCCTCTTGGGAGGAACAACCTTGATCTGCTCTAGCTTAGCCTGGACTCCATCAATGGTGGTACGAGGGGTGACCGACTTATACTTTGCACAAGTAACATCTCCAATTTTTTTGGTCTTTAGTCCAGTCAGCACCTCATGATCCTTCGGTGGAAGATGGTTGATTTCCTTCGTCATCTTAAAAAGCTTCTAGGCATCTAGCTTCGGCTCTTGTTGGAGAGGGTTTCCTTCAAGACGTAGCAGCGGTGGCGGAGCGATTAGTGGGCGACGAATGACTTGGGTGTAGTAGGATTGATTTGAGCAAATAGGGGTGACTTCTGGTGGAACAATGGCCAACGCAAGTGCGTCGGGCTTCTTGTTTAGGTCAGCTCCATAGGGGATGATTTTCTTGTCGGCCATGGGAACTAGAGAGAAGGAGAGCTTTGCTGCTATTGGAAGGAGAAGGCTTTAATGGGATCGTTATGGAGGCAGGTAGAGGCTTGTTTATATAGGGGGAAGAACAACTTGTAGCAGGGGTCAAGATCTATCCCTAAGGGACTCATAACGAAGAAAAATAGAATGCGTCAAAAAACTGTGGGATTACGAAGAGAAAGGATCTAGAAGACATGAGAGAGTTGATGGGACGTGAGAGGCACTGATAGTGGGCGGAGCGGCCTCTAGGTGGGGCCGGGTGGCCCCACATGTCGGGACTTGGGGTGATTTTTCTCACGGCGCTTTCTAACTCCTATCTAATCCCAAAAAGTATATTTTCTGCGTTACGAAACTTTACGGAGGATGGCAGTGGTGTAAATCTATGGTAAAATTAGAAAATGTACCTCATCCAAATCCTTAGGTGGTTTTTCAGGTTCTAGAAAGATCTTGAGATGGTGGCCATTTACCTTAAATAACGTACCTTAGTCATTTTGAAGTGTTACCGCTCCATGCGATGAAGTGCTTATCACCTTGAATGGTCCTTCCTATTTGCTTCGAAGTTTTCCGTGTCCGAATAATTTAACCCTATAATTAAAAAGTAGTACCTTATCTCCTAGGGTGAACTCCTTCTTGATCCTCTTATCATGCCATCTTTTAGTTCTCTCCTTGTATATCTTGATGTTGTGATATGCCTTTTCACGCCATTCATCAAGCTCAGTGAGTTGCATCTTCCTCTTGGTTCCCACGGATTCAAAGTCCATGTTAAATCACTTGATGGCCCAGTGAGCTTTGAATTCTAGGATATCCTGAGCAACGTCCTTGATGGTGATTGTGCCGCTAATCTCCAGGAAATTCTGAAGATGAGCACTAGCATCTTCATGTGCCTTTTCGCTGAATGGGGTAGCATGCACCATGTTGATGAGGCTTGGCTTGAGTTCAAACTCAAGGTTGATGGTTTTGAGTGTTGGTCTAGTGCGGATGTTCTCAGTGCTTGGAGCAGAGAATTCACGCAGTGTCTTTTCAGCCATAGCTTCAAAAACTGGTGTTGAGCTTCCTCTTGATTGATTTGATTTTGTTTGATGAGATTTGTTGGTGAATCAGAACCAATTCTGCAATACCATGTATAAGATATGAACAAAGACAAACAAGGATAAGCCTGCTAAAGCAGAGGTGCTTAGTTATGATTTCATCAATAAGTATTTATTTGATCAATTCTCATGGCCTTGTGCCCCTCCCCGGCAACGGCGTCAGAAATGCTTGTTGGCATTTCTTAGCATCACCTTAATACTAAGTTGTCATCCCTAGCAATGATGTCAGAAATGCGTTGTTTGATAATTATTAATGACACTTGTAAACTCAGATAAAATCATATATGTTAAAGTAATCCGCAAGCGCACAGATAATATACCATTGTAGCATTTCATCCGGGAGTATACCAGGTATCATTATTTAAATTTTATCCACAGGGAGGAGCGATGGGGTGGCTAGAGATATTGGCAAATATGTATACTTATGATAAGATCATTAACTCTCATGCTTTAACAGGGTAAGCCAAATGATAAATAAATGAGAAGTATAAAGCATTGATAGTAATCCAGAGATAGAAATAGATACTCATAAATGTAGTATGGCTAGACAGGAGATTAATTAAGAGTAAAAGATTCCAAAGTCATTTCTTATTTACTAAGTCTTTTGTACACTCTAGTATATACACTTTCATCTATAGCATAATTAACTTTGTATCTATGCATAAGGAACATTACTAAGGAAGATCAAGAACAGAGCTTGACTTCCTTCGCAACCAGGTTCTACTTGTTCTTCAAACGGGGAGTGGACTACAAAGGACTCAACGAGAATGTCACACTCACGATCTACCACATGGCCCGGAGTGTAGAGTGCATCCACTGCTAAAAATATTTAAGCACCACGCTTACATAATGTCGACCACTTAACTCACTCGAGTACTGAGCTAAGCGCTTTGCGAACATATGCATAAATTCATCATCAATCATGACTATATCAAGTATATTATCAAAGCAAACGAGGAACATAATAAATAGAAACATAGTATTAAAGTAGTACAAAGTCACAAAATATAGAGGGATACAATGGCTTCGCCAGCCTCGAGACGACGAATCCAGAATCCTGAGCAATAGCTCAACTCTACTTAAATCTTGCTAGCTAGCCTATACTATAACTTGAAGAATTGGAACTCTATTCTCTTCTCTCTGGAAACCCTAATTTCTGATATAAACTTGACTTATGTAATTCTGCCAAAGGGAGGGGTGTAGGGGCTGGTATATATAGGCCGGAGCATCAATTCTGAACCCTCGGATCAAACCGACTTGAAAGAACGGTGGAGATGCAATCCTTAAGGTAGTGGAGAACCGACGTGCGAAGATGGAGGCTGATTGGTGGGCCCTGGGACCATCCGGCCTGCAGGTGGGACCAGCTGAGGTCTCTCGCGGTCATCTTCAGTGTGGAGTCCTCTGATGTCCTCTAGAACCTTCTGGTGCTATTTACGTTGTGGATAATCCCGATTAAATTTGATGATTTGATCCACTTTGACGGTTTTCTGGATAAACCCTGCTGAAAACACAGATTCACCAAAACTCATAGAAATTGTCAGTTTAAACCCCTAAGTCTATGTTGCTGATTATTTTTACTCATTTATTTAAGTTACATCGACGGTTCATGATGGATGATAACTACGGTCGACAATCGCCGAAATCCTCAAGCCACTGCACAGTTGCAAATGCGCGGTCAATCCTCTCCATGGTCGGCCGGCGACACTCATTACTCCATGTGTACAATCTGCCATGGAGGTACAACTCCTCGACGCCCATAGCGTCCTAGGTCCTGTGGAATCGGCGCATGGAGGCGAGGTTCAGGCGATCATTGTTTTTGTCTGCTGATTGGTAAATCAGATTGAAGTCACCACATATCAAGAGCGCGCCAGGGGATGTCTCATGGATCATCCTGCTCGGCCAAGAAATCCGGCTTGAGAGCATCATGCACCAGACCACAAACTGCTACTAGCGACCAGGCCATCATGGTGGTTACAAACTGTTGCAAGGTAATGGTTACGGAGAACTGACGGCAGTCAGTTCTTGACACAGGCCACACATCGCGAGCCCAAGCGACAACGATTCCCCCCAAAGCACCAGAGGCCGACAAGCACACATAGTCAAATCTGGTTCCTATTAAATCAGAGGCCATAGACGGCTGCAGTACATCAATTTCAAACAACAGAAACGTGTTCTTGCGACATGAATTCGCGCACGACATCTCTACGGGCTCTTGAGTTCAGGCCACGCACAGTGCAAATGGAAATGTTATGTCCTAACATGGGAACAGACTAAGGCGACATTTGGTGGTAACTTAGGCGGTGCGAACGGCCCGCGAGGCCCGCTGCTTCCCACCCGGGAAGAGAACCTACTTTTCTTCACGTGTTGACGGAGACAGAGGCAGGGCGAACACAGTTTGAAGTTCCTCGAAGGAGGCCTCATCTAGGAGTTGAGTCTCCCCCTCGACCCCCAGATGTTTCATCACGACCTTCTTGGCCTGCGCGTCTGGCTGCCGGACTCTGTGTCTGCTCTTTGGCACTAGCGTGGAGTCTTCGACGTCATGGGTCCACGATCTGGCCGCCTGAGTTATCGGATCACCGGCGGCACGAGAGGCTTCTTGAAGGTGGAGACAAAGTCCGCAGCTGGCATTGGTTCCGGCGTCGATGACAGGCCACCACCATCCATGCCCGCCAAGCGTGGCGACGATGAGCCACTAACACACCCATCGACCTAAGTAGAGTAGACGTCCTGGGCTAGAGACGAGTGCCCCCCGGCCTGCTCTAACGTAACTGGAGACCAAGACGTGCGCCCCTTGGTGAGCTGTGGCCTGAGCCTCCGTCATCTGGGCCAGAGAGGCATAAGTCCACCGCCTGGGCCAAATCAGACATGAAGTGACCCGAAGTGGCCGTCTCGAACCCATGACCAAATAGGAAGTCTGGCCCATCGCTGCACTACAGCGTGGCACCCTTCAATTGACTCACATCCTCATCAAGTGCAGCCCCCACTGTCAGATGTCAATGGAGTGGGGCGCGTCACTGTCACTGACTCTAAGCCTTCGCGCAAACAAGCGAGCAAAGCGGCCTCATCCAGCATTGGGTCTTCCACTGCCCATTTGACGGAAGAGGGTGAGACAGGGCACCTGGGCTTGAAGTCAAGCCTCCCGTCCACGCAGTTGTCGACATGCGTCCCTGGCGTGGTGCGAATTCTGCTCCCCGCAGCGTGACAGGGTATGGCGCCGCACGGCGACATGACCGGGCAGCAGAAATCCCCGACCACGATGGATTGGCGCGTTTCTCGAGCCCTGAAGGTGGGACCCGACCAGTGTCCCAGGCGTGGCTCCTTTGGCCTAGCGAAACGCATTGTCAGCGGTCGCGCACCACCGCCATCGCCACCGAATCCCGGATGGAATCCGTTGTAGTTATTGTCATCACTATCCTCATCATCGTTGTAGCCTAGTCCTCGTCGGACAACTGTGGTGGAGTATGCCAGTCTTGGAATTCGATGATCCTCAGCCGAACCAAGTAACGAAGCATCGGGACCTCGTCGTGGTTGATCTCATGTGGCCGGAGATACAACGGCGAGCCACCATCGTGCTCCTCCTTCGGCTCTGGCATGGCCATGATCTTCTCATCGGGGATGAGATCGGGGCGCGCACACCATGCAGCGATGAAAAGCTCTCTCTCATCATCCGGATCGTCAAGGGCCTCCAGGTTGGCGATCTCCGCCTTAGCCCCTGAAGAATCGAGGATGACCTGCGCGACCTCCGACGAGCGCACATGCGAGGGGATGCCTTTCATACTGATGAGAACGCGGTACCTGAAGGTGCCAGCCGATCCCATAATGAGGCGACTCCATCTCCGCCACCGCAGGGCAAACGGAGCTCCCTCCGACGAGGGGGTACCCAAAACCGCGTCGAGGTCTTCTTGGTTAGTGAAACGCATGATGAAGTCATCAGGTCTGGCCCGCCGCACTGAGACCTCAGCGATGCCATAGTAGTGCAGAAGATGCAGACGAACCATGGCCGGGGTCACTGCCGGCCTCGTGCCAACAACCATGGCCAGCAATGCAAGGGACAACGCATCCTCCCCCGCCTGCAAAGCTGGGGTGCATGGCACGACAATGAGCTCGAGGAGAAGCATTCGTGCCCTTGTCCTGGGCGACGCCGGCGGTGCTTCGACCCACCAGAGCAGGGAGCGCGGAACACCACGGGGGTGATCAGGCCGCATGGGGCCACCACCGTCCCTAGGTCCAGTCATCGCAGCACCGGTGTTGATGTGAGATTCGCAGCAGCACTGTGGCTCATGCCACCCTCCCGCTCGCCCAATGGTGCATCGACCGCAAGCTCATCCACCACAGGTTCCACTGGAACCGACTCTGGAGTTGGCAGCTCACACACAGGCGGTACCGACGGATACCTGCCTGTAGAGACCGAGCGAGCAGAAGTAGACTTGCGAGTGGGAGAAGACCGGTGCCGACGGGCACCATGCTGATGCCAAGGGTGCGAGCCGAAGAACGACCCCGTTTGCCTTCCTAGCGACCAACGGCCAGAGGCAACAGGCAGACATGCTCTTGGTGACCCTGCCCCTTGCAGTTGAAGCACTTGGACGAGAAAGTGCACTTGGCGCGCACGTGATCACCGGCAAGACAGTTGAAACACTTGCCAATGAGGTTGGATGGCATTGGGCGCCGTGGCTCAGCCACGCGCCGCCAGCGACGCTTGCTCCGCACTGTCCTGAAGCCATCAGCATCCGGCTCCACCCACATGCGTGGCCGGTGAACGACAATAGAGGTCAGGCGGCGGTTGGCAGGAGGTGGCGCCGGTGAGGGGGCTCTCCGGGCATCCGCCATTGCTGGTATTTCTTAACATTTACGGAAAGAATCCGCACGCATATGGAATTACCGTTGTAGTTTTCACCTGAAAGTATTCAGGTATCGTATTTTCATAGGGAATGAATGTATTTCTTTTAGCTAATTCATCCAAACACAACACAAGTGTAGCTGATAAGGGTAGAGATGGATTCCTTTGTTTTTGAATCTATTAGAAGATAAACTCTACATCTACTTGCTTAATTTGGGCACTGGTGAGCACCTGGTCTATCAAACGTTGCTAGCCTATAGCTCTACGTCGTACCCAAATATGGGGGATTACAAGGGACGGACAGAGTTGTTACCATCTGCCGCCTATCCCTCAACCGGAGAGCACGAGGCAAACGAAGGTAGCCTGTAGCCTAGATACCACGTCTACGCTATCGACTACTACTCTAGCGTCAGCTAGAAACATCCATCTTTATCGAGTCCTCTACTAGAGTATCCATCAGGGGGTGCGTCCGCACCTACATGTGTCGTTTTGGCCCAATCTTTGTTTTGTAGGCCTCTAGGACTGCATGGGCCACTCCTGCAAAGTTTGGTGCTATTTGTAGCATGTTTGCTTTGGTTTTTGGGCCCTTTTCTCCATGTGACAGGGCCTTGATTTACCTTATAAGTGGACCTTCTCCCCCTAGCCTCATGTCAAGTGATGTTATGCCTTGTCCTATTGCATATTTAGGTACATTTTCCTTGTTATTCCGACATATCCTCCTGTTAATGGTAAGACACCAAAATTCATGGAAATAGTTAGTTCTAAAGCCCTTTGCTCGTCCTCGAGCAAAGTTAGAGATAAAAGTAATCATGAGCATAACATCCATAGATATACAGCTATACAAGAAAGTTATTCCAACACATTTTTTACACAAGTGGGATATGTGGCGTTAGCTAACATGTTTCCTTGGGTTGTTGAAAAGTGGAACAGTTCTCGAAACAAAGCCATTTTCCCAATTTCACATCTTAGCACCTTGGAGTTTTGAAAGTTTTTTTCAAGAAAAGCATAGTTCACTTTATACTCCTCAAATGGCATTCTCAAATCACTCAATGGTGTATATTTCCTCACCAAGACATAACAACGTTTTGCCTTCTTTTATTTTCTCCTACTTCTAAAAGGTTTATGTGGAGCTTTAGGTAGGGATAAACAAAATAGCATACTTGTATTGCATATGTTGTAAAGTCAAATTGAGGATCCAAGGAGAGAAGTGACATACTCTTAGATCAAGATATGCATGTGTGTGAAAAAAGGTGAACTAAAACTATATTCCTTTTGTAGATATGATCTCTCTTTATAACTTAGTGTTTTGAAACATGGCTATCTTTCTCTTTCTTTCTTTTTTTACTTGGACCTTCTTGTGTCCATTTTTTTTCTTTTAACCTTTTTTCATAGCCCATGTTTCTTCTTCTAAACCACTTATTTAGAGATAGATCACTATCTTTTGGAACATGGAGTATTTACCTATCAAACATTTTTTTTGTTTACTCCTAATGTAGGAGCATAATTTTTGGTGGATGGAAGCATGTTTTTGGGTAATCCTAGTGTAGGAGCAGCAAGTGTATGTGGGTGTACGTGATTTTGATCTTGGGAGCATGATAAATCTCTCAACAAGGGTCAACAAGACTTGACCAAACTCAATACAATAACAAACAGCTTATGTAGAGGGCTTGAAACTTGCAAGATATCAAATTTTGGCCTTGGTAGGAATTGCTCACCAATTGAGATGTGATACTATGGTTTTATAACATTTTTTATCAAAATAAATTCTCCAACTACTTTGAATAGAAATGGTAGGACTTCTAAGTCAGAACTATATCACACCTCATAATAACTTAGTCAACATGATTGTCCTATTAGAATATTTTCCCACAAGCATAAGTGTATGTATATAGAACAAATTTCATGCAAGCTTCTATCTTAAAAATGTTATGAACATGTCACTTTTCAAAATTGAACGAATTGTGGTTTATAAATTTGCATGGAGGTGGAGCGACATTTGTTTTGTATTTTTAATTTGTTCAATGTTTTAAACTTCAAAATTTGGGAGAGTTGAGGAATTTGTTGCACAAACCATCGTTGTAGCGGAAGGAGTTAAGGGGTTCAGATGTGGTTTGGCTAAACCAAAAGTTCAGCCAATCCTCTCTTGAGACATTTGTCTTGTCCTTCTACATGTTGGATCAGTCGATGTTTGTCTAACGTGTTGGTAGGAGATCTCTAATGTGTGTTTGTCATGCTTGAGAGATCTCCCCCATACTTATTGTTGTACCTATTTTTATTTAACAAAGAAAAACAAAAAGAAATAGACAAGGGCTCTACCAGTTGAAACGCTAGGGAGCCTTAATTTTATTACAATTATTATTACTTTTATTTTTGTTATTTATTATTACCATTATTATTATTATAAATTTTTATTTTATTTTATGTATTCACCCAATTTTTTTTATCATTTAGCATAAACAAGACTAAGGTAAAGGTTGGAATACAAACATAGCTTTGATTCATCTCCATAATAGATTACTTTCTTTGTTTATGAAAATAATAACTCAAGTCCATTAATCAAAATTTAACACCATGTCAAAGTTTGATTAAAGAAGGCTATTTTCACCTAAGCACCATGCTTAATTTAAAAAACCTATGGATGTAATTCGCGAGAATACATCCAAACAACAGCATTTGACATAAACAAAGAAAGCATGAACTAGCATGAGCAACATCGTATAGAGACAAAAATGAGTAAAGGAGTTGGTAAACATTTTTTATCATCATTTTTTAACTATATATATTTTAATTTTCTTTTCTTTTTTGTAGCAAGATACAACTATCATCATCTCTTTTTTTAAATCAGGACGGTCTTTGGTGTGTATGGAACTCGATACTCTTACATCCTCCTCCACACTTTGACTTTTATGTAAAATGTCCATTGTGCAGGATCGGGGTCTCCTTTTGAGTGTGTTCCATTTTCAAAGATCATCAACATATGTAGTTGATGCAACTCCCGTGATTTCATGCATCGTCTATCCCCTATTCTTCTTGATCTTGACCTGAAATGGTTAGCGACCAAGAATACCCAAAGGTGCATACTAACATGAAAACACGTTTTTGCTTCTATTGAAAAGAAAGTTTTTTATGATAATTATATATATTTTTTATGATTGTCCGGGGTATCTCTCGGCAGTGCTTGATTTGCAGCTATCAATGGTGGTATAGTTCCTAGCTTTACCACCAAACATTTAACATTAATGTTCAAGCTGTAAGGTTAGTACCACAATGCTGCTACGGGATTTGCAAAATTTGTGATAAACAAAAGCATCCACAACCATCCTCTTAAAAAGTTTGGAAACGAGGAGTGATGGGTGGTTGTCTTCCTCGTAGCAATAAGCAGCACTAAGCACAATGAACTCTGGAGACTCCAAACGTGAGCATGAAACATGAGGGGTCTCGAAAGAGAAACTTTCATGCTCCTCAGTCTCCAGAGTTGGTGCTTTAGAAAGGTCCATGACATAAGAGTTTTCTTTTGTAAGAAATATATATCATGAGGAAACAACATTGAGTCTCAATCATTCTCAAGGACAACGGTTGGTTGGCCAAAGGGACATTGCTTAAGTTCTAGCGAGGGTGTTGGATGTTCCGTTTCACAAGAATGTAAAGCAAATGAGGAAATGAACTTAACCTCCTCGAACGGGTCATGGTTGAGATGCTACTTTGCCATTGGACTTTTTGGGTAAGGGATAGGAGTAGCGATAGCAGTTTCTCCCAACTTTTCATCAAGGCCCCCATGGGAAGGTTTTTCTTGAATAAGATTTTCAAGAGGGTGGCCCATGAGAATATCAAACTCAAGGATGTCATAGATATGGAAGTCCAAGCAAACCTCGGTTTCATTAATTTCTATTGGCACGGCCCTAGCAATCCCACAACACTCGAAGAAGAGTTCTAACAGATTTTTGAAGAGTTTATTGGTCGAGACTAGTGGCATGTTACCCAAAAGGTTTTTCGCTAGGAATTCTGACATGATGCTAGTTCTGACTGTGGGGTTGTGTAGGGCTTCTATGTTTGTTCCCCTTAACGAACAAGGCATGGCCGTGGAAGGTGAAAGAATCTGAATTGCTTTAGAAGAACGTTTCACTTCCATTAACCATTCCTTTGACGATTCTGATCTAGGGGAAACTTCCTTGTGAGGATTGTGCTAAAAGTGTTTCGAGGTATTGCCATAATCCTTGAATTCGATAGGGAACTCCAAAGGATAAATTAGTCTTTCCATCGGTGTTCGTGGTTCGGTGAGGGCTCATGAGTCAAATCTAAGGATGGTATGGGTTTGGATTCGACTAATGAAGATTCCTCAACACTCGACATGACCTTGGCCTGGAGGGGGTTTGGTTCCTATGACGAAAGAAGTGTGTC